ACAAATATTATACTCTTGTGTATAAATATTTAATCTTTACAATGACAATATATTGGAGAATACAAATATTATACTCTTGTTTTTAGGAGAATATAATATTTTCATTGGAAAATGTTTTCATAACAATTGTAATTAAATATTGCAAATTTATTTATGGGACAGTTGACCTGAAATAAAAATGCTTATTATTATTATTATTATACAGGAGGTAGTTATTATTTTAAAGAGGAAAATGAGTGTAATTTTAATGTAAGAAATATGTAATGAGAATAAAGCCAAAAGATGTGCACAAGAACTGGATTATTATGAATATATCAATGTTGTGAAATCCGAGCCGAACGTTAAGTCGGAAGAGCTTCTGTATTAGGTCTAACCGGTTTAAACGGTTAAGCCGTCCGGTCGGACCGAATGATTTTAAATATAATTAATAATTTTTATCTATAAATATATACTTATATATAAATGTAAAATTTTATATAATCAATAATTTTATATAACTATATTGAACTAACATCTTTCTATATTTTTTGGACTGAAATAAAACAAAACATTAGAGTAATGTTCCATTTTTTTTTAAATTTTAAGTGAATTGTCCGATTTTTTCCAGGGTTATTCTGGTTTAACCGGGTTTAGCACGGTCAAACCGGAATTTCTCCGGTTCAAAGCGGTCCAACTACTCATTCAATTAAGACTACAAAACGGAGTCATTTTCAAATCCGGTTAGCGATCGAACCGGTCGGACCGTCCGGTCCGGTTATCACTACAGTGGTATATACTATGTGTATAAGTGATTGTAATAATGGCTGTTTATTTAGATTACTTTAATTTTTTTTAAGAATAAGTGATGATTACATATAAATATAAAATATAAATATAAATAAATAGTGAATTATGTAATCAATATATAACTATATATATATATATATATATATATATATATATATATATATATATATGAGGAGAATATATTTACATTCAAATTAAATTACATTAAGTATATTCAAATATTTGATCTCTTTCATTCATTTTTTTTTTAAATTTAGCTGAATATAGGGTGAATGAAAGAGATGATGATAAAGAAAAAGTGAATATTAAATGATTTTTAAGTTTCACCCATATGAAGTGACTCAAATGAGTACAATTCTCATATAAGAACTATGAGAATAATAAATCTAGACTTAACGATCAATCATCGATGATTAAGATTAATTATTGGTCACATGATAGTCATGTGCATATATCTTTTAATGATGATTATTCAAATAAAATTCAATGATCCATATTCTCACAATACCGCATTGTTCTCATTGAGTAGTTCGAATGTTCAATGTTAAAAGATACATACACATGACTATCATGTAATTAGTAACTATCTTTTAATCATAATCATCCATAATTAGTTATAAGGTCGAAAATTATTATTCTCACAGTTTTTATATGAAAATTATTCTGACTTAAATCACTCCTCTAATATACGTGATATAAGACTATATTACTAATCCCAGAACGACCAAATGTTCGATTCATATGTCGACCAATTGTTGTAAGGGATAGTACATACCTAAACGATTAGTTTCTTAGCGAGGAATACTTACCAAAAAAAAAAATGAAATTCTTCATCGATCACAGTTTTTTAATAAAATTAATAAGACAATAACAAGGAGCAGAGTAGATTGTGTTTAAGGCGGAGAATCCAAAAACAAGTCATCTTCATTCTTCATTTTCTTGTTTCACTCTAAAAATGGCGGTTACACCTTACACAACATGTTCTGCACCTCGTATTTCTCCTAGGTTTTGAAGCTTCAATTGTTCTTCATGTTTTTTTTTTCGTTGAACTAATTAATGTTAACTTTGATTTTATCTTATTTTCTGTTTGTTGTGGCAGTTGTGGCATAAAACTCTATTCAGGATTGAAGCTTCAATCTGCAAGTGTGTTTTCAAATCACTATCCTCAACTTTTATTGTGATTGGTTTGTTCTTAAATAATTTTTTGAATTTCTCAATTGCAGGTATTTTTAGTGCTTCTAAGCTTAATGTCACCGCTGAATTTTACGGAAGAGTTCACAAGAGTCTACAGCTCAGGTAATTTTTGGGTTTTGTATAATGTTGAGGCTTTGTTAGTCTTCAAATTCGGACCGTGACCATAATTGCGGTCACGAACTCGATTTTAAAGCTCCGGTGATGCTTAGGGTTCGTTTGTGAGTTGAGTTTTGGAGGGAAAAGAAAGACTTGGGAGCCATGAAATAAAGACACTTGTCACATGGTTCTAAAGCCTTCTCTTTCGGTTCATTTTCTTTCAAAACTTAACTCGCAAACGGACCCTCAGGGTTTAGGAAAGGGTCGGACCCATTACGTGGGTGACTGGGTGGGTTTATAGTATGGGGTCTTATCTTGCAAGAAGTTGATTCCATAACTTGAACTTGTCACCTTAGTGTCACATGCATTAATTATATTATTATTATTATTGCTTTTTTTGTTTTCAAGTGAAGACATAATATGATGATGCTCTCAAAATTGGTTCCATCTTTGCGTTGGTTAAGCATTGCAAAATAAGCTCTCAAAATTGGTTCCATCTTTGTTTTGGATTTGAGTTGCAACTCTTACCAAAAGTTTTGTCAGCAAGTAATTAATTTTGTGACCAGAATTCTAGTATTTGTTTTTGCTATTCTAGTTTCGTTTTTCCCTCTTGGTAACTCATTTGTAAATGGGGAAGCAATCATATCTTGTCATTTTATGCTCCATCTTTGTGGCATCTCTGCTTTTATTATTTTGCTACACTATTCCTGATAGATTTGCAGCCTCTCTGTACCTGAAATCTGCAATATGATGCTTTCATTCCAACATTTTACTTGGTGCAGAAAGCAAGCCCCAATCACATCTTTATGATTATATTAATTTTTAGGATTAGCAAGTATTTTTAAACTGCAATTGAGTTCATAGTAGCCATAAGCCCATAAGTATGAGATATTATCTTTTACAGTTAGTTTTATTACAAATGTGTATTCTGAAATCAAGGAATAAAACATGGTTGATGCCATTTGAGAACAAACTATATGTCACAATTTGTAGAAGATTTTGCCACATATGTTATGTGTTTGGTTGAATGAAGAGATTGATACAAGTAATGTTATCAAAATTGAAATGCAAACTTAATCAGGTATCCTAACCAGAAACCAGCACGGGCACAAATTCATATGATGCCTATAGGGACCCCTAGAGTCCCCTATAGGACACCTGGTGAAGGAACCTGGCAATGGGTTGATTTATGAAATGCCCTTGTAAGTCCTTATGCCTTATTGCATACATTAATTTTATAACATATGCATCCAAAAGATGTTGGCTTACTTAGATTTCCACAGATGTAGACAATCATTATTCACAAATCAAAATCTGGTTTCCTTTAGATTTTCATCTCTTCGCAAATGTTTCTGGAAAACTAATAACTTATCGTGTGCAGTATCGAGAGCGTGTTATCTTCATTGGGCAAAACATAGATGAAGAGTTCAGTAACCAAGTATTGACAACCATGCTGTATCTTGACAGCATAGATAACGCTAAGAAGCTCTATATGTACATCAATGGCCCTGGTGGGGATGTAAGTTTCCCGTGATTATTGTTGGATGATCAATCAAGTGCTTCAATTTCTTTCTCCATCTTCTTGCTAACTGGTCATGTTTTTGCAGCTTACACCAAGCATGGCTATCTATGACACCATGCAGAGCTTGCAGAGTCCTGTTGCCACCCATTGTGTTGGCTATGCCTATAATCTTGCTGCTTTTCTTCTCGCAGCTGGAGAAAAGGTACTAAATGATCATGTTGTCCATTAATACAAATACAACCTGTTGAAATTAAGTCTGTCATAGTAAGGGGTTGTTGTATGGTTATATATTTTGAATCCAAATATAATCAAACATGACCTGCGTTTTATGGACTTTGGACTTGTCTACATGAGAGTTATCTCTGCATCACACATTTGTATCATTGGCACACTGCCATTAATAACATTAAGATTTAAGAATTATGCTCAACATAAGTATGCATTTGAAACGTTTGGGACATTAAATCATGTATATATTAACTGTAAAGGACAATATTTCCGTTCTCTGCTTCTGTGGCCACAGGTGTACCTCACACATATCTTTAATTTAATAGCATAGCCTTAGCTTTTATGGATGAGCATATAATCTGTATCTTCAGTTGCGTCCCTGTATGTAATAATGAAAAAAGTTGGAAAGTTCTGTGGTTTGAAACAGTAACAAAATGAAAATGAAAGAAAGAACAATAATACAGAGTTACTTTTTTAGTTAGTCTTAAATTCTATCCTAAATTTACTCCTGAGCCCTTTATGCTCCATTCCTTTGTGTTGTCATGGTCATGTCTAGTTGGTTTCGTACAATGTGTCTTATGTCGATGTTGTTAACGTTTTATGATGTTCTTCTGTATTAAGGGCAATCGCTTTGCAATGCCTCTTTCAATAATTGCTCTCCAGTCTCCAGCAGGAGCTGCTCGTGGCCAGGCATGTCTATTTTCCGACCGGGATTAATTTCATTATCACCTTTCACATGTATGAACGGGATTGGTTTCACTCTCGATGCTAACATCAATCCGAATTTTGTCAGGCTGATGACATTCAAAATGAAGCAAATGAACTACTTAGAATCAGAGATTACCTATTCAAGGAGTTGGCTAACAAAACAGGTCAGCCTGTTGAGAAGGTGAGTTCACTAAAAAAAGAAATGCATTTTTGTTGTGAATGCTTGAAATATGTTATTACATTAGTCCAACATTATCTAGTATTGGAATAGAGTAGAGTAACCAATGTTATATATTGGACTCAGCTCCCTTGTTGTAATGTGCACCAGATATAAGCACTTAATATAAACATCCCATGGGCACTTGGGCCCATGGGTGTACTAGGGTTTGTAATCCTTATTCTCTAATAATATCTTGGTAGCCTCTCAACGCTCCCGGGGACGTAGGCACAATTGGCCGAACCCCGTTACAAAATTCTTTGTTTCTTCTCTTCTATTTATCCTATGCACTTTATTTGATTACTTGTGACCAACGCTGCACAACGATCGCTTCCACTGCACCAACAATTTGTATAACTTCTGTCATTGTATCTCATGACTGTTTATTTGCTCGACCAAATTACTCACTGCATGACAGGAAAAAAAATAAAATAAAAAACTTTAAAAATCTGAAAGCTCTAGTTGAACTTTGATGCTTCTACCAGGGTGTGCATCTTAGTTCCTTCGAGTTCATATCAAAATTTGAAAATTGGAAGGGATCTCCTTACTTCAAGAGTAAGTGGAGAAAACTTACTTCATATTTTAACCATCCATTCTAGAAAAATCCAATGATTTGAATTAGTTAGTAGATCTAAACCATTAGATTTTTCGAGAATGGATAACTAAGATGTGTAGTAAGTTTTTTTCACTTAATCTTGGAGTAAGGGGATCCTCTCCCTTTGAAAATATAAAGAGTTTTTTTTTTTGGTTTGTTTTCTTATTATCATTTTAGTTGAATTTCTTATAATTACAAAAATGCTACCTTTTTCATTCCAGATCCTTTCTTTTTAAAAAATTTTGAAGAAAAAACAATGAAGACAATTTAGGAACACAATTTCTTCACAGAATTTCGAAAACGGGGAATTACCGGAAAATGGAAACAGAGAACATAGGAAACACCCAACAAGCTTTATTAAGCTTAAAACTAATGTTTAATGCATCTCTTTAGATTACCCAAAACCTGAGCAGAATGAAGCGCTTCAATGCACAGGAGGCTCTTGAATATGGGCTCATTGATCGAGTTGTCAGGCCTCCCCGGATTAAGGCCGATGCACCTCGCAAGGACGCCGGAACAGGTCTTGGCTAAGAGCTCATGGTTTGCCACTCAGATTAGGAAGACTCATATGTTTGTCATGTTTTATTTCCCTTCATTAGTTTTAGGAATATGTATACTAGTTAGATAGTTAGAACTTATTGGCTATATATTTGATGCTTGTTGAGAAATGAGTAAATTTCAATTCTTATTGAAAGTGGCAAATAACCTAAGGTATCTTAACTTTCTACGGTTGTTGAGGAAGTATATAATATAATTGTTGTCCACTCTTTAGGCTTTGTTTGGTTGAGGAAAGAAAGTAAGAGGAAAGAAATATGTGAGAGAGAAAGAAAATAGAAAGAAAGAAGTGAAAAAGTAGATGAATTTTTATATTGATTGATATGAGGGAGAATAAGGTGAAAAAGAAGAGAATGTGAGAAAAGAGAAATGATGTATGTTTTAAAAGACAAAAATACCCTTATAATAAAAAATAATATTTGTTAAAAAATAATGGATTTTAAAGGTTATGTTTGTCATTTCACATGATTCAATCTTCTTCCCTCACCTTTCTCATCGTAGTTGGAGAGAAAAAATTTTTGTGGGTCGCACATCATTTTTATCCCCCTCTCTTTTCAACCAAATGCATGAAAACTCCACTTTCTACTTTACTTCTCTCCCTCTATCTTCTTTCTCTTCTTTTTCTTTGTAACCAAAGGAAGGCATAATGAGTTTTGAGAAAATGGCTGAAAGGCTTGAGGTTTGGCTTTAGGGCTTGTACTTAAGTGATTGCTTCAATCAATAGAACAAGACATGTGGATTTTTGTGTTTGCCTTGTTCCAATGCAATTTCTGCTCTGATTGTTACTCCTAATATCATTGAATTTCATATTTTGGAAGAGAAAAAAATGTATACACCAGTAGTGTAACAATTTTATATACTGTCAGTTTATCATTTACCATTGATTTTTAATTATCATTGTCTCTTCAGAAAAAGTAATACACCAGTAGTGAATAATGTAGTGATTGTGTATTTCATGTTAGTATTTGTTTATGTTCTTGTCAAATGGTAAGTGAAGGAGAGATATTCAAAAATATTGTCACTGTGGTCTAATTAAGGTTTAGTGAAATTTATTTTGTACATTTTTTTTTGTTCAGATCCTCTTTACATAACAATCAATAGTCAATGTTAAGGTGTCTTAAGATACTAGTTAATAGAGAATCTAAAGGTTGCATTTTTAATTTAACATTTTCATGATTATATTTTTGAAGGAGCTCCATGTGAAACTTTAATTTAACATTTTCATGATTATATTTTTGAAGGAGCTCCATGTGAAACACTTATTAACACAACTCGATCGGCTAGATTCTTAGAAAAACTAAAAGTTCAATTTTAGCAAAATCCTATAAAAATCACAACCCCACATGAAGAAATTACATAAGTTGGTGTGGGAGCTACTTTTTGGACCCTACATTTAAAATTTGGACCTCAATTTTTTCCTTAAAATTCCAAAATTATTTTCCTCACTTCCTATCATAATTACAATTGTAATTATATTGATACTCTTTGAATTTTAGTAAAATTATATAAATTACTCATCATTTTTTAAAACCTACACAAATCATCTCGAATTATATATATACATTACACTGACTATAACTATAAGAGAGCTAAATGTAATTTCTTCAACAAAAAAGGTGGTGAATGTAATTAAGCCAAACAAAATATAATATATTGTGAAGACAAATCCAAATAGTATAAGAGTCAATGTCTATTCATTATTTTGGTTAGTTAGAATATAATATAAGAATGATTTAAATATCTCATTGAAATTATTGTAGTTTGTGACGAACCAAAAATAACGAATAAATATTGACGTTTATATTATTTGGATTTGACTTCACAATATACCATATTTTGACATAATTATAATCGTTACCATTTTTGTTTAAGAAATTACACTTATATCTCTTACATAGATAGTCAGTCTTATCTATAAGTGTTAACATAGATATTATTAGTTAAGTATCTCATCATTCTGCAAGAAAAATAGCCCATGACCACAAAAATGTCACCATACGAAAAGAGTTAAATCAAATAATAAAAGCAACCGTCTCTAAGATTTTTTTAATTTAGGATATGCTCACGGGATAGAAAAATATAGACTAAAAATGATTAAAAAAAGCAATAAAATGAAGCTTCGTTATATTTGTGCTCCAACTTGGGTTGACAAATGGTATTTTCTAGAATATGAAAAATCTTGTCCTATTATTCAATTTGTGATAAATCAGTTTCAAGAGACAATAGCAATACACAAAACTAACGTGACACAAAATTTTCCCATTAAGTAGTAATTTTAAGTACAAAACTTAGTTAAAGTACCATAAATGATAGTGATATAGGTGACCTATTAGAGGATGACATGTGGACCTTTTTGTATATTTTCAAAGTCAAAAAATGTTTGATTGTAAATCTAATAAATGTTCATTCTTTGAAAGTATACAAAAAGGTTCACCTATCATCCTCTAATAGGTCAACTGTACCACTAGTGTCTATGGTACTTTACCTAAGTTTTGTCCAATGTTGTTAGAAGTAAGAATCACACACCTAAAAAAGATTAGTTTTTACTTATAGGGTAAGAGATCCACCTACTCCAAAACTTACTTCATATTTCAGCCATCAATTATGAGGAAGTTTAATTGTTTGAATTGAATTAGTAAGTAGATATAAATCATTTTAGATTTCCTAGAATTGATAGCTGAGATGTGAAGTAAGTTTAAAAAACTTAATCTTGGAATAAGTGAATATCTTCTATTCTGAAATTTGCACAATCAACCATTCCAAGGAAAGGTGAATTTTCAAGAACTATTACAACATTTTACATGACACAACATCAGCATTAAAAGCATACCAAGTCATCTAACTAAATTCTACATGGACAACAACTCTGAAAACATGTTTCTTGTAATACACTCAATAAGCTTACAGACACAACAAACAAGGGAAAGAAAACCAGCTAGGAATCCGATTACAACGTTGTTAGCAGCAAATTTAAATACCAGATGGGATAAAGCCCTATCAATTACCCTCCAGGAAGTGTCGCATTAACATCGGTTTGCTTATTTGTAGCGTCCGCTGGCATGGCAGACCAGTTATCGACTCGGAACGAAGGTGTTGATGATAGAAAAGGTATTGGATCAGTAGTAGAGATTGGAACAATTGCAGCCGGTGTCACAGTCGATATAACCTCGTATTTCTGCTTTTTCGGCCTCCGATCGTGTTGATTTCCTGCCAGAAAACTTCCTACCACTACCTGATACACACCAATCAATTGGACATTAGAATGAAGAATCACAAACTTGTAATCAAATACGATTTATTAGCATGTGAAAAAGGCTGTCTGCATCTACTATGAGGTTATAGGTTCAAATCCTAAATACAGCCTCTTCACTTGTAGGGGTAAGGCTGCATACATCTATTCTCCCGAGACTTCACTAAGTAAGAGTCTCATACAGTGGATATAGAAGATACCTGCACAGGACTGGCAGCCACCAATAGACCAGCTACACCGCCACCTACAACACGTCCATCCGGACTAGCTAAACAAACACTCATGCCTCCCGATCTGCTTCGTGTTCCTCCACCATCACTAGGCATGAATGAGCCAGATAAAGACAGAATTTCAAACTTTCCCTGATGAAATAGCAACAGGAAATATGTGATTTCTAATTCTGATGGAAACAAAAATGCTACTATGATAGCTAAATTGTGTAGAGATCAAAGATAAAAATAAGAGAGATAGTTTGATTTGTTATATGAGAAATTGTTAAATTTGGATTTTTCTAACACAACTGATACTTAAAAAGCATGAGTGTAGAATGAAAGGAAAAAACAGGATGAGCTAGAGCAGTATTTTAAAGTCCGGTTGCGGTCACGATTGCGGTAACGGTTGCGGTTACTGCGATTGTGGTCATTGTAGCTGTTGCGATGCGGATTGCGACCATTGCAGTGTGAATTATTTTGTGATTAAAACAATATTTTTGAATCCGATGTGGTGCCTGATGTGGTCTGATACAGCCTGATGCGGTCCAAAATGCGGTTGCGTTGCAGCTTGATGCGGCCGTATCATTGTGATTCGGAGTCGCGGTGTGATGCGATTGCGACAGTCACTGCAACCGCAATATTGTGGCCGCATCAAGTGATGTGGTCCGCAATTTAAACTACTGAGCTAGAGTCTTCATCAGAGTCGATTAAACTGTTGTAGAGTAAGTAGCAGCAGTGACTAAGAGCAATACAATCTAACTATAAACCCAAAGAAAAAAGCATTCAAAACAAAGGATATAATAAACAATGAAATGCAAAAACAAAGTTCAGAAATGCAGAATAGTAGCACTTTTAAACCATTTAGAACATTAAGTACATTGTGGCCTAACTTGAAAATTCTCTTCTCACCATCTTTTTCATGACAGCCTCAAATTTTAATGACAAGAGAATAATCATTTTATTACTTTTTTATGCAAATATCTACCAGTAACTGGCATGACTCTTTCATTGAATTAGAGAAAATGATACTATCAAACTTCGAAAATGCTTCACCTCGTATGTCAATGTACCCCCAGAAGAATCGGGCTGACGAAGTGTGACACTCGATATGATACCATTTGCCGAAAGAATGCATATAGTTCGACACCGTTGCTGAGAAAATGATATTACTTTCATGGTAACATCCTAAGACAACCAAAAAAAAGTTGTCAAACCAGAGAAATGTGTGCTATTTTCAACTTGTCACAGTTAAAAAAGATGAATATAGCTATTCCAGGAAATTATGAAGATAGCTATTCTTTTATTAACTAATCTTCTCCATTGTTACATATAACTTATCAATCCACATGATGAAAGATACACACATAACTTGTAATCTAAAAGAGTACTTGTCAAAGTGACAACAAAGGAAAAAATTAAAGAGGAAATATAAAAAGTCATAGATACAATGCTTATAAATGGTGAAACTTAGCTTCTACCCATGAAAAGTTATGATTGTTTTTGCATATTTTTGGGTTATAAACTCTTTTGTGTAAACTATGTCCAGGTAATAAACTGTTGGGAAGTAAGTCTCACATTGTCGGGAATGATTTAAATACTTGTTGGCTACTCCTCTCATAAATAATAATTGGTTTTGAGATGAAATCTTAACATGGTACAGAGTCAAAGCCCAACTTCTTTCCGATTGTTATGGGTCAAAAAATGATCTTTAGTTATGGGTCAAAGGTAACCATTCGC